CCCTGAAGCAGTCAATTTTCAAATGTAACAAGATCTGGTCAGTACTCAAGGCTTGAGCTGACAAATGGCAAGTAACATTTGCACCACATAAAAGCTAGGCAATGCCCATCTCCAATAAGAGACAATCTAATCACCGATTCTTAATATTCATTGGTGTTACCATCATCAATCCCCTCTATCAATATCCTGGGGGTTACCAGTGACCAGAAACTAAACTGGTCGCATTACATGAACACAGAGGGTCCATGAGCAGGTCAGAGGCTAGGGATACTGCAGAGAGTAGCTTACTTTCTGACTCCCCATTATTTACAAGGCACAAGTCAGTGTGCGTTTTAATACTCCCCACTTGCATGGGTGGGTGCAGTTCCATCAACACTTAAGAAGCTTGACACCATCTAGGACAAAAACAGCCCACTTCATTGGCACCACATCCACAAGCATCCACTCACTCCACCACTGACACTCAGTAGCAGCAGTGTTACTATCTACAAGATGCTCCGTGGAAATTCACCAGAAGATCCTTAGGCACCATTTCCATCTAGAAGCAGCAGACACATGAGAACACCACCACCTGCAAGACCCCTCCAAGCCACTCACCACCCTGACCTGGAAATATATTGCTGTTCCTTCACTGTTGCTGGTCAAATCCTGGAATTCCCTCCCTCTCAGGGCACTGTATGGTTACTTACAGCTCGTGAACTGCAACAGTTCAAGAAGGCAGCACATCACCTCCTTCACAAGGGCAACTAGGGACGGGCAAGAAATGCTTGCAAGCCAGCGAAACCTATGTCTTGTGAATGAATGAAAAATAGTTCATTTACTCTGAATTTTAAAACTCCCCCAAATCTGTTTCCTTTTTTCACCTTCAGCAGGCAATAAAGATAAAACAGGTGTTAAAATGACTGTAATTCTTTATTGCTAGACAATCTGATAGTCTACCTCTTTGAAAAATAGAGTTTTGATCCAGATTTTGCTGTCACACTTATAATTTGAGTCAAGAGAAACAAACGAGGTAGCTGAATAATTGCTTATTGGGACACTCAGGTGATGGTCGAAGGGAGAAATGTAGCTGTTTATGGCCGAGGACAATTATTTAATAATTTGAAGCCTTTGAGTACTTCCCTGCCCCCGGATTAGGAGTTATACATTTGTTGCAAAGAGTAGGAAATTACTGAAAGACAACTGGCAAAAAAAAATCCAATTTCCGATCTACAAACAGGAAAGATAGTGAGCGTTGGCTTCCACTGGCAAGTTATAATTTTTTATTCAAAGCAGCTTCAAGGCAAAATATCCTTGCAATGAATTTGTTAGTAACATTCATCAATGCAGTTTGAAGGTAATTTAGCAGAATCAACAACTGTAAAAATTTTAGCAAGTCACAGCAAAACTTCAAACTAGGAAGTAACATTCTAAAACCTGATTATGACATCTGGTCTTGGACTTCTGTCAGAGACACAGTGGAGTACATCCAACAATAGTCCAGCCATTCCCCTGGAAAGAGTTACAATCTGCATCTGAAGTGACCATATTTCTAAATGTGATCCAGCTAAAAAACAAAAGTGGGAAAGTAGAATTGAGCTTGATGTTGTGCTTTGATCTAATGGAATGATGGAAAAGGATTGTATGACTTATCCCTGCTCCCATTTCTTATCTACTAAAATTCTCAAAGCTCCAACATACTATTCATCAGCTCTACCAGTTGGTTACAGCTACTAGATTCAAATTCAGTTGAAGTTTACCATTAAGAAATGAGATAAACAGTGAAACTAGGATTGCAACTGAATAACAACACCTATTAAGAACTGGCTTTAACCTAGTGTTAGTCAATAGAAATATACTTAGAGGCACAGACAAGGGGACAGTTTTAGAGATGGGCATTGATTTGAGTGGATGCCTTACAAACAGACACAACACAGTAATTGTGCTTCACATGCACAGAAATAGTCATAAACAATTTAAAAGAAAAAGAAGATTGGGATTGTCATAACACAAGAAAAGAAGAGAGGCTCTATAGACATGCACCTGACAGGGTCAACCATATCCCACGTATGTAGACAAAATCTAACTGCCAATGAAAGTGACTCGATAGCCAAATCTATTGAGTGGGCAGGGAGAGATCTTAAATACCAAGGCTGAGTTAGAAAGAAGACGAGATAGAAGACTGGCTAACTTAAAAGAAGATAGAGTTGGGGTAAAGGGGAAATTTTCATATGGCAACCTGTAACTACTGAAGTGCCACAGAGATCAGTGCTGGGACCGTAACTATTTATAACATATGCTGATGATGGAGTGAATGTACTATTTGCCATGTTTTGTGGATGATAAATAACAGACGAGGAGTGGTGAGGATAACACAACGTGGCAGAAGGATACAGACAGGTGAGATGAGTGGGCAAAAACTTGGCAGAAGGAATATAAGGAAATGTGGATGGCAGGAAGAAGAGCTGAATATTATTTAAATGGGGAAAGACTGCAAAAACTTGGGGAACAGCAGGATTGGTTGTGTCTTAATGAATGAATCAGAATAAGCTAGCATCCAGTTCAACCAGTAATAAAGAAGGCAAATGAATTTTGGACTTTATTTCAAAGGAAATGAAGTATAAAAATTTGGAAGTATTGTGAAAACTTTACAAGTTACCAGTCACACCACAGTTCATAGAGTTATACAGCATGGAAACAGACCTTATCGTCCAACTCATCCATGCCAACCAGGTTTCCTGAACTGAACTAGTACCATTTGCTTGTGTTTGGCCCATATCCCTCTAAACCCTTCCTATCCATGTACCTGTCTAAATGTCTTTTAAAAGTTGTAATTGTACCCAGCACTACCACTTCCTATGGCAGCTCATTCCACTCATGCGCCATCCAATGTGAAAAAGTTGCCCCTCAGGTCTCGCTTAAATCTTTCACCTTAAACATATGCCCTGTAGTTTTGGACTTGCCTAACCGGGGAAAAGATCTTTCCTATCCACCTTATCTATGCCCCTCACGTTTTTACAAATCTTTATAAGGTCATCCCTTAGCCTCCGACACTCCAGGGGAAAAAGTCCCAGCCTATCCTTACAACTCAAACAGCTAGAACTCTATGAAGAATTTTGAGCTCCTTATCCTTAGATATACTGGCAATGGAAACAGTCCAGGTAAAGTTCACCAGGTCGGACTTGGGCATGGAGAGAGTTTCTCATGAGGAGAGGGTAAGTCAGCTGGGTTCATGCTCATTGGAGTTTAGAAGAATGAGGAGAGACCTTATTGAAACATACAAGATTCTTATGGGCTTGATAGGGTAGGTACAGAGAAGTTGTTTCCCCATGTGGGACAGTCTATAGTCAGAGGGCATAATCTTGGAGTCAGATGTCACCCATTTAAGACAAATACAGGGAGGGTTTTTCCTCAAAGGGAACTCAAGCCATGAATTCTTTACCGCAGAAAGGTGCAGAGGCTGGGTCGTTAATATTCAAAAGCTCACATTATTGAATTTTTATTCAGTAAGGGAATCAAGGGTAATGGGGAAAATGACAGGAGAGTGAAGTTGAGAATTATGAGATCAGCCATGATCGCCCTAGATGGATAAGCAAACTCAATTGGCTGAACGGTCTTCTTTTATTCTTACCTCTGTAAGACGTATGAAGATGACATAATTGTCAAATGTGTGGGAAGTCATGAATGCTTATAACTAAGTTTGGCTTATCTTTGAAGCATCAACTATTAAAAATGTAATCCATCCTTTAACTTGAAATATTCTTCATTCGTTAATGTTTAAATTCTGTCAACTTTAGTCAGTGTACTCCAGTGAAAGTTGCCCAGCAGTTTTCCTTCTGTAGGTATCCTTTCTTTTAAAAAGTTATCAGTCTCCACAGAAATCATAACTAAAATGTGAGAGAGAGGCCATAAAGGACTTGAATACAAGGATGAGAATTTTGACATCATTATGACTATATGAAGGCCAGAAGCCAATAGAGATGAGCACAAAAATGATGGACGGGCAGGACATAATGAGAGATGGTCGCATGGGAATGGGAAGTGAAACAACGGAAAAATATGCTCTGGGTACGGCGAAAAATATGAATGGAACCAGGAGAGGACCTAGCTAGTCCTAACTAGCTGAATAATAGTGGAGTGGCATTCAATAATGTTGGGGTGTCAGGCTGAATGACAGATAGTTCCTCATGTTCCACTTGTGGAACTAATGGCGACATTTCCCCGTGGCTGTCCTCAAGCTGACAAGGATTGTCCATGTTTTCCATGGATGGGTGAAATCTGGGATTTCACCGCTTGGGTCAGTTATTGGGTCACGGTTGGTGATAATTGCAGTCAATGTGCCCCAATGAGAAGCGGGACAGACTGTTGTTGGTATGTGTGCTTCTGAACAGCAAAACGGGAAATGCAAGTTAAACAAAAGATCAGCTGAACCTGTGTGAATAAAAACAAAATACCGAAGATACTGGAATTATGGAATAAAAAGAATGTTGAAGAAACTCAGCAGGTCTGGCGGTATCTGTGGAGAGAGGAACTGAGTTAACATTGACTTTTTCAGAACTGGATTCAGAACTTGTGACAATGTATTCCTTCGAAAGATCAGTCCTGATATGGACAGCAAATGCTAACATTATTTCTCTCCGCGATGCGGAGATGTGCAGGCTAGGTGGATTCGCTATGTTAAACTGCCAATAGTGTCTACGGTGGGAAATGCAGGGAGAGGGCATAGAGTGGGATGCTCTTCAGAGGGTCGGTGTGGACTTGAGGGGCCAAATGGCCTGCTTCCACACTGCTGGGATTCTAACGAAAATTCTATGCAGAGTTTCTCCATCACTTTCCGTTTATGTTTGAAGAGTTTCGCCTGTGGAGTTTTTTTTTGGTTTTCATACATGAACGGAAGTTGATTAAATTGGCGCCACTTTCTGATTCTGATGGAGCATTCATAAACATTGAGCGGGAACTCGGGGAGAAAGGGACGGAGGGTTTACTAATGTCCCAGGCCACCCACTCCCTGCCTTCCTCACCCTGCCTGCTCGGCCCCGGCCTCGGGTTGCCCCCAGTCCGCTGTCCGCCTCCTCATCGCTGGAGAAGTCCGTGCCGCGGCCACTGTTCCGCGCCGTCAGGTGCTGGAGGTAAAGCTGGACGTAGACATCTTTGCGCTGGTCCCCGAGCGGCAGCTGCACGCTGTGGGCGATCAGCTCACTCTTCAGCCGCTCTTTGGTCAGCACCGACGGATCCTGCAAATACTCGGGCATCGCGGCTCAAGCTCCCGCTAGGCCTCGGAACTCCCGCTCTGCCACCCACCAACAACGCGGGCCGTCAATGGCCCTGGGGCCGCACTAACACGCGTCCCTATTGGACAAAGTGTGTAACTAGGCGGGGCTGTAACCCAGGGTAACGGGTCAGGCGGGAAGGAGGAGGGCCATCCTGGCCATGGTCCACATTGTCATCCTCACAGCTCCGCAGGATACGGGGCAGCCTCTCGTTTCCTCAAAGCAGTCTGCTCAATCCAGGGATAGTAGGAACTGCAGATGCTGGAGAATCTGAGATAACAAGGTGTAGAGCTGGATGAACACAGCAGGCCAAGCAGCATCAGAGGAACAGGAAGGCTGACGTTTCGGAAGAAGGGTCTAGGCCCGAAACGTCAGCCTTCCTGCTCCTCTGAT